TCCTTAGCGCTGCTAAGGAGGCAGGAGAGGCTCCCATCACCACCGCTGTACTGGCAGCCATCAGCCTGGCTTGTGGCTGAGCAGAGGTCCTCCCATGTGAGAGCGCCCTGACCACCAGAGGGCAGCTCCTGCATTGAGCGTCTGCCCCCTGGTGGTCAGTGTGTGTCATAGTGACCAGTCATTCCCAGTCTTTCTGCTGTTAGGGTCAGTTTGCATATTACCCTTTCACTATATAGGACAGAGGCCTGGTGCACGGGTGGGGGCCGGCTGGTTTGCCCTGAAGGGTGTCCCGGATCAGGGTGGGGGTCCCGCTTGGGTGCCTGGCCAGCCTGGATGAGGGGATGATGGCTGTTTGCAGCTGGTCACACCCCCTTCAGGGTGGGGGTCCCCACTGGGGTGCCTGGCCAGTCTGGGTGAGGGGCAGAGGTCCGTTTTCAGGCTGGTGGGCGACTGAAGCTCCCAACCTCTCTTTTTTTTCTTTTTTATTCTGGGATTTATTTACCTTCTATGGCTGTCACTGGAACTGAGAGCGGGCTCCAGCTCTGAGACCTTGGCTGCTGAAAGCAGGTATCTAGGTTTGTTTGGCTTCTATAATTGAAACACTGTTGCAACTTCAGCTCTGAGGCCCAGCTGGCTGAAAGCAGGTTTCTGGGGTTTGTTTAGCTTCTATAATTGCAACATTGTTTCTTAGAATGCAGCTCAGAGGCCGACAGCGGCAGGCGGGGAACCTTGGCTCCCTCCATCACTGGAGCAAGCAAGCGTCCTGTTCGCTTCAGCTGCCTGGCTGCCGGCTGCCATCTTGGTTGGCAGTTAATTTGCATATCGCCCTGATTAGCCAATGGGAAGCGTGTCAGAGGTATGGTTAATTACCATGTTTGTCTATTATTAGATAGGATGATTGTATTATTTTCCACCCAAACAACTGTAAACCTACCTTGGCCCCACCCAGTATAGCATAAGTCCTGTGTTCAAAAGCCCCTATTTGGTATGGTTCCATGATTCTTTGGGAATACAGTTCATTTGTTTCTGCTTGTATTTCATTTCTGCTTGTATTTCATTTTCAGTTTTTTCCCTCTAATATATAAATTTTTTAAACATAGAGGAAGGGAAAGGGATAGAGAGTTAGAAACATCGATGTGAGAGAAACATCGATCAGCTGCCTCCTGCACACTCCCTACTGGGGATGTGCCCGCAACCAAGGTACATGCCCTTGACCGGAATCGAACCTGGGACCCTTGAGTCTGCAGGCCGACGCTCTATCCACTGAGCCAAACCAGTTAGGGCTGATAAAATTTTTTTAGTGTATAAAAGACTAGAGTGGTTCCAAAATCAAATTTATATAAAAAGATAAACTCAAAGCGGTATTGCTCTCCACTCTTCGCTCTTCCCCACCCACCCCTGGTAAATACCAATATCCTATCCGTGCTTCTCTCTCTCTTTCTCAAAAAGAAAAGGGAATAAAAGGAGACGCATCAACATTTTCTTTTTTCCTCTTATTTCTTCTGCAAAAGGCAGCATCCGACATACACTGTTCTGCACTTTGCATTTGTCACTTAACTGTAAATCTGGCAAACACACCGGAACAGTTCATGGAGTTCCGCCTCATTCTAGGACCTTTTATTTCTATCCTCACCTGATGATACCCTTTCCACTGCTTTTCAGAGAGAGGGAGGGAGGGAGGGAGGGAGGGAGAAAGAGAAACATCGATGTGAAAGAGACACATCGACTGGCTGCCTCCAGCACGCACCCTGACTGCACCCCGAACAGGGGCAGGGAGCCAACCGCAACCCAGGTATGTGCCCCTGACCTGGAATTGAACCTGAGACCCTTCGGTGCGTTGGCCGGCGTTCTGACCACTGAGCATGCATCCAGATCGAGGACTTTTTTTTTTTTTTAAAGCACACACTCTCCCGGGGAGTCTGTGACCCAGAATGCCAACTCATCCGCCCAGTGCCACCTGCAGCTCCCTGTCTTCCCATAGCTTACCTTCCTCTCACCTGGAAGTCCCAGGGGCAACCACTCCCCGTGTGCCCCACCTCCCACCAGCCTGGGCCGCCTCTCTGACCCACTCACTGTGTCCTGGGGCCTAGTCACTGCGTCTGCCAGGTCCCTGCCTCCAGCTTCCCACACTCAGGCCCTGGGAGAAGCCCTGTGGTCCTGACTCCTGCAGAGAGGCCTCCCTCCCCAGGTCAGGAGCCCCACAGCCTGCGGCCCAGTCCCTGTGGGTACCTCTGGCCTGAAACCTGGGATCCCCCATCTCCGTGTCCTGCCCCCACCCCGCTCAGCCTCTTACTGGCAGAGCTCGCTTGGGGCCCGGGTTTTGTCTCAGTTTCTTCATCTGCAAAGTGGGTTGGCAATGCGGTTTATGTCACAGGACTGTTGCAAAGCTACCACAGAATGCCCTGGGAGACGTGCTTACCCAGTGCCAGGGCGGTCAGAACTCCCCTCCCCCCCAGAGCCGCTCCAGAGCACCAGCCCGCCTCCCAGGAGAGAGGCCTCCAGGCGCTGTGCACCCTGCAGGGAGCCGTGTGGGTCCTGGAGGGTCTGTCCTCCTGCCTGCCTTCGCTCCGTCTGGGGCTGGTCCAGGGCAGCCTGAGCAGGGGTTTGAGTCTGGCTGGCAGGGGCTGGGGTCCAGCCCTGCTCCCCGCTTCCCAGCCCTGTCCCCTCCCCTTCCCTTGAGCTCCTGGGGTGCATGTCCTCCGTTTTGCTTTGCTATTTCGTTCATTCTCCTTTCCTCCCCACCTCCGTTCCCCTCGCCTTCCACTCCCCATAGACGGACTCTCATAGATGGAACGTGTGGCCTCCCAAGCCCTCTTCCAGGCAGTTCCTATGTTATTTAGAGAAACACATGAGAGGCCTAGAGCACTAACCCTCATCGGTCTTTGGCCCATCAGCACCAAGGCTCGGCCATCCGGCCGTCCGCGGACTGCCCTGGCGGGTACTCATCCATGGGGGCGGGAGTGAGGGAGTCCGTCAGACCCCCGCTACCCGGCATCCTGGGCCCCGCTCCTGGGCCCGCCCCCATCACCCTCGGGAACACAGGGAATTCCTCTCCGTACTCAGGCCGCGAGCTGTCCCTAGTGACAGGATGCGGGCAGGTTGGTGCCAACCAGCCGGACGTGGGCACGGAGGTCCCTAGTCACACGGCGTTGCGAAGGCGACTCCGAGGAGAGCGCGTGGCCCGGGGCGGAGCCTCCTGCGCCGCCCTCGGCCGCCCCGGGCCGGGCAGTGTTTGCGGGCAGAGGTCAGGCGGCAAGTTGGTCCCATTTTCCCGGGGCCCTGTCCCCGGGTACCTGGGGGCGTGATCCCCGTGACCCCGATGCCGGGCAGGCTGTGGGGGCGGCGCTTCTGGGACACACCTGGTGCGCACCTGGAGGAGAGGGGGTGGTCGCAGCCCGGGACTTCATTGGCTGGGGCGACGGGTGACACAGCCCAGGGGCCAGCCGGGCACCAGGGGCGGGGCCCGGCTCCCCCGCCGAGCTCCACATCTGGGCTGCCCTGCCCCGCGCCACGCCAGACCTGCGCCCCATCCCGCAGCGCCCGCCACCAACCCCCCTTCCCCGCCCTATTCGGACCGGCCCTGGTCCCAGCCCCACCGCCATGAGCTGCTTCGAGGAGGAGGGCGGCTGGAGCCTGTCCTTCAGCGGCGCGGCCTTCCTCGGCCTCTACCACGTGGGCGTGACCCACTGTCTGCAGGAGCGCGCCCCGCGCCTCCTCCAGGGCGCCCGCCGCATCTATGGCTCCTCGGTCGGCGCGCTCAACGCCATCTGCATCCTCATGGGACGGCCCGTCGGTGCGTCGGGGGCCCAGGCGGGCGGGGGGACCCGGGATCTCCCAGCCTCCTCGGAGGCTGATTTGGAGGGACCGGAGGGGGCGGGGGCGGAGGGAGGGGTGTCCCAGGGCCCGTGCGTCCTGCCCAGCGGTCCCTCCCGTGTAATGCATCTGAGAACCTGAGCACTGGGACTAGGGTTCCCCCCTTTTCACAGAGGAGGGGTGCCACGCTCGGAGCCAGGAAGATGCTCTGAGGATCACCTGGGGGCAAAAGGTGGGAGAGAGCATTTGAACGCAGGGCGGGGCACAGGAATTCTGAGCAGAAGGGGGCCACTCCCTGGCCCCCAGGAGGGAAGGCCAGCCTCCCAGCCCGCAGGGCAGGCGCGCCTGGAGGCTCAGGACCTGTCCACACGCCCCCCCCCCCCTCCCGCAGAGTTCTCCTGCGACCGGCTGCTGGACCTGGCCAAGCAGGTGGAGCAGCTGAGCCTGGGCGTGTTCCACCCCGCCTTCGCGCCCATCGAGCACATCCAGCGGCAGCTGCGGACCTTTCTGCCCAGTGACATCCACGTCCGGGCCTCCCAGCAGCTGGGCATCTCCCTGACCCGCTGGCCCGACGGCCACAACGTCATCATCACGGAATTCGCCACCCGCGAGGAGGTCATCCAGGTGAGTGGGCTGGGGCCTCCGGGCCTGGTGGCAGGTGGGGGGACGCCAGCTCCTACCAGAGTGACTTTCGGGCACTCTCCGGGGGGCAGACGCATCTGCAGGGTGGGGGAGGCGTCGAGGGTGGGGGCAGCGAACTCGCAGCCCTCAGCTTGTTTACAAAACAGAGGGGCGGTGGCCAGGTGAGGATGGACAGGTGCGGTGGGGGACCCTCAGCTGCACACAGCTTGGCTGGGGAGGGGGCAAAAGTCTGTTGTTTTTTAAAATTGATTTCAAAGAGGAAGCGAGAGGGAGAGATAGAAATATCAATGATGAGAGAGAATCATTGATCGGCTGCCTCCTGCATGCCAATACAGTAGAGGATCGGGCCTGCAACCAGGGCATGTGCCCTTGACCGGAATCGAACCTGGGACCCTTCAGTCTGCAGGCTGTCGCTCTATCCACTGAGCCAAACCAGCTAAGGCCCATTTTTTAAAAAATCAGAGCCCCCCAAAGGGGCTGCTCTCCAGAGAGGTGCCTGCCCAGCCCTACCCCACCCGGTCCTCCACGCATTTCCGGACACAGTGGGCAAACATTTCCTGAGGGTCTGTTCTGTGCCATCACCGTGACTGTAACGTCGCCTGACTCCTGGGGCTTCTAATCTAACGAGTGTGGGGTGCAGGGAAGGACCACATCCGCCATGAACGAAGAAGCAATCCAGGACTGAAAGAAACAGGAGTGTGTGACAGCCGCACGGGGCAGGAGGCGGATGCTCAGGCAGGGGCACAGGTCCTACCCGGGGAGGCCAGCCAGGAGACCCGTGCTTCCCCCATCGCGGCTCTGCCCCCCCTCCCCAGCGGGGTCTGCACCTTCCACACAGCCTGGGCCCCTGCTTCGCCCGGGTGCCCCCAGTCCCAGCACGGGCCTGTGTCTGAGTCTGTGCTGACCTGAACTCTTCGTGCAGGGAGGGGCCCGTCCCTGGCTGCGGGGCTGTGTCCACAGCTTTCACCAGGGGGCACAGGGGACCCCAAAGTGCACCCACCATCT